CATTTCCGGTGTTTAGGTGTGTCCAAAGAGAATAGGGAGTAAACGGGATTTATGGACATCCTCAGGAATTCGCCCACCACAGGGAAAATCGGGAATAACTGGGATTCATTCCCGTTTTTCTGGCTCTGGAGGGTTTTCCATGGATGGGAATGAGGATTCCTGCTGTTCCAGAGGGTTGGGAAAGGCTTTCAGGGATGGATTAGGATAAAAGATAAGGAGCCCGAGATAAGAATGAGCGCTTTCCCTGGCAGGAATTTCCCTGGAAATGAGGAATTTCCCGGGAATTCTCTCCTTGAACCCCAAGGCAGGTGAGAGGCAGCAGAGCCTTGGAGAATCCCGAATTTGAGGAAAATAACCCCAAACTGGGAATCCCAGAGCACCTTAAATTGAGGCTTTCCCCACATTCCGGGGACTTCCAGTATTCCCAAAATTCCCAGAATTCTGGGGGTGCAGAATCCGTGGAAACCCCACAGAAAGGATTTCTCTAAATCCCTTTTTTTTCCCCAGATGTTTCCCGCTGGGCTCTGGCTCTAGGATGTTGGAGAACCGAGAGGAAGTGAGGAGCAGCCCTGGATAATTCCCAAATTCTGGAGTTGGGGCGAGCGCAATTCTTGGGAATTCCAACTCCGTGGATAATTCCTGGGAGAACAGGGGGCTGAGTCCAGGGGCAGCTGGGAATGGGAATGGCTGGAAAAGCAGGGATAGGAATGGGAATGGCTGGAAAAGCAGGAATGGGAATGGGAATGGCTGGAAAAGCAGGAATGGGAATGGGAATGGCGGGAAAAGCAGGGATAGGAATGGGAATGGCTGGAAGAGCAGGGATAGGAATGGGAATGGCTGGAAAAGCAGGAATGGGAATGGCTGGAAAAGCAGGAATGGGAATGGCTGGGAAAGCAGGGATAGGAATGGGAATGTCTGGAAAAACAGGAATGGGAATGTCTGGAAAAGCAGGAATGGGAATGGCTGGAAAAGCAGGGATAGGAATGGGAATGGCTGGAAAAGCAGGAATGGGAATGTTTGGAGGTGTCTGTGCCATTCCTGGGAAGCTGGAAAACAGGAATGGGGCGGATCTCTGATCCCGTTCCATGGAAGCAGGGCCGGGTGGATCCCTGATCCCATTCCCATTCCAGGGAAGCAGGGCCGGGTGGATCCCTGATCCCGATCCCGGTTTCCCGCAGGAGCTGACCACGGTGCGGGTGCAGGATCCGCGCGTGCAGAACGAGGGCTCCTGGAATTCCTACGTGGATTACAAGATCTTCCTGCACGTGAGCCGGGATCGGGATGGGCCCGGGATGGGATCGGGAGGGGCTCTGGGGCGGGGTTATCCCGATCCACGGCAGGGATGGGATCGGGATGGGATCGGGAGGGGCTCTGGGGCGGGGTTATCCCGAGCCAATCCTCAGGATCTCATCCTGGGCTGGCTCCCGGTTCCAGCGTCGAGGGGATCCCGCAGGGACTGAGATCCTGGTCCTCAGTCCCATGGAGAATTCCCATCCTGGATCCTCTGTCCAGGCCAGATCCAGCCCCTTGATCCCAGGGATAATTCCCAGGGATAATTCCCATCCTGAATCCTCAGATCCAGCCCTCAATTGCATGGATAATTCCCAGAGATCAGTCCCAGGGATCATTCCCATCCTGGATCCTTCAGCCCTCAATTCCTAGGGATCATTCCCAGGATAATTCCCAGGATCCCTCCCAGGATCCCTCCCAGGGATCATTCCCAGGGATCATTCCCAGGGCTCCCTCCCAGGGCTCCCTCCCGGGATCATTCCCGGGATCCCTCCCAGGGATCATTTTCAGGATCATTCCCAGGGCTCCCTCCCAGGGCTCCCTCCCGGGATCATTCCCAGGACCATTCCCAGGACCATTCCCAGGATCATTCCCAGGGTCATTCCCAGGGTCATTCCCAGGGCTCCCTCCCAGGATCATTCCCGGGATCCCTCCCAGGGATCATTCCCAGGGATCATTTCCAGGGCTCCCTCCCAGGACCATTCCTAGGGATGGATCCCTCCCGGGATCATTCCCAGGACCATTCCGGGCTCGCTCCCGGGGCCATTCCCAGGATCTCGTTGCTGTTCCCAGACCAACAGCAAGGCCTTCACCGCCAAGACCTCGTGCGTGCGGCGCCGCTACCGCGAGTTCGTGTGGCTGCGGCGGCAGCTGCAGCGGAACGCCGGGCTGGTGTAAGCGCCCCCCGGGCCCGGGCCCGCCCCTGGGGTCCCCCCAGGGCCCGGCACAAAGCGACCCCCCAATCTTTCCAGGCCGGTGCCGGAGCTGCCGGGAAAATCCGCGTTTTTCGTGGGAAGCACGGATGAGTTCATCGAGAGGCGCCGGCAGGGGCTGCAGCACTTCCTGGAGAGGTGGGAGCGGGGCTGGGGCTCGGGAGCTTTGGGGGTTTGGGGTTTTGGGGTATTTGTATTTGGGGTTTGGGATGTTTGGGGGTTGGGGTATTTGTATTTGGGGTTTGGGATGTTTGGGGTTTGGGATGTTTGGGGGTTGGGATGTTTGGGGTTTGGGGGTTTGGGATGTTTGGGATTTGGGTTGTTTGGGGGTTTGGGATGTTTGGGGTTTGGGATATTTGAGGTTTGGGAGGTTTGGGATATTTGGGATTTGGGAAGGGCTGAGGGGAGGGTGCAGCGCCCAGGGGTGGCCAGGAGGTGGCAGCAGGGCGGGCTGGGTGGCCCTGGTGACCGTCCCTGCTGTCCCCCCGGTGTCCCTGCTGTCCCCCCGGTGTCCCTGCTGTCCCCCTGCTGTCCCCCGGTGTCCCTGCTGTCCCTGCTGTCCCCCGGTGTCCCTGCTGTCCCCCTGCTGTCCCTGCTGTCCTTCCTCCCTGTGTGCCCAGGGCGGGAGGGGACAGGGTGCCAGCAGAGGTGGCCCGTCCCTGCAGGGTGGCAGGTGCCAGCAGCGGTGACGTGTCCCGTGCTGTCCCCAGGGTGGTGCAGAGCGCCGTGCTGCTGTCCGACAGCCGCCTGCACCTGTTCCTGCAGAGCCAGCTGCCCGTGCCGGCCATCGAGGCCTGCGTGCAGGGCCGGGGCCCCCACTCGGTCACCGAGGCCATCCTGCACTACGCCATGGCCTGGGGACGCCGCGGGGACGGCGCGGGGCTGCCCGCCGCCAGGTGAGGGCAGGGAGCAGCCGGCGGGGAGGGACCTGCTCCGGCATCCCGGGATCCCGGGATCCTGGGAAATGGACTCAGGGAGCAGCGCGGGACAGGCCTGGGACCCCGGTGTGGATCCCGGGAGAGCCCCGGGACCTCCCTGTGCATCCCGGGGCACTCCCAGCTCCTCCCTGTGCATCCCGGGGCACTCCCAGCTCCTCCCTGTGCATCCCGGGGCACTCCCGGACACCCAGTGACCCCTCTGGAGAGCCTGGGATTCCCGGAATTCCCAGCTGGACACGGAGTGACCCCTGTGGACACCCCCGGCCCCGCAGCCCTCGCTGGGAGAGCGGTCAGCGTGGAGCCGCTGGGATGGCCGGACGGATGGACTGGGAGCGCTGGGAATGCGGCCCTGGCCCTGGCCGAGCTCTTTCCCAGCACATTCCCGATATTCCCTGATATTCCCAGCGGTGTTTTCCTCACTCTGCTCCTGCTCACATCCCTCTGGAATTCCCAAACTGAGCTCAAATCCCCAAACTGAGCTCAGATCCCTCTGGAATTCCCAGACTGGGACAATCTGAGCCGAGCTTCCCGCCGGGAAAAGGGAGGGACGGGGCTGGAATTTGTGTCCCCTTCCCGCTGGGGCTGTTCCCAGGGATTTTTTGGGGAAGCAGGAGCAGCTCGGGTGGTTTTGGTGTCTTCCCCTCCCTCAGCACTTGGTGTGGGCAGGAAATAAAAACGGATAAAAATTAAAATAAATAAATAAAATTGAAACGGAAGTGGAGGAGATTTTCCGGGTTCTGCCGGGCTCGGGGGGTGGGAGAAGCGCCAGGAATTCCGGGATTTAGGGAATTTGGGAATTCCCCACGCCAGCCAGGGCTCGCGGCGGGTTTTGGGGCGGTTTTGGCTCCAGGGAGTTTTGGGAATCCCTGGGAGGAGCCCCGGGAATGGCAGGAGGAGCTCAGGGCTCCGAGAGCGGCTGTGATTGGCGGATCCCCTCATGAATATTCACAATTCATGAATATTCACAAGTCATTAATATTCATGAGCGCGTCGCCGCCGTGGCGCAGATGCGCCCGGGATCCGATCGGACTCCAGGGATCCACCCAGATCCTGTGGATCTGATCCGAACCCAGGGATCCGCTCCAGAGGGACTGGAGCCGAATTCCAGAGGGATCTGAGCCCAGTTTGGGAATTCCAGAGGGATTGGGGCCGCCAGGACCCTTCCACCATCCAGCGACCCCGCAGCCGAGTGCGGGGGAGGGAGGGCAGGAAAAACCAGGAAAAACAGGAAAAACCAGGAAAAGCAGGAGGAGGATGCGCTGGATTCCCTCACAGCAAAGGAGCCATTCCCGACCATTCCCGATCATTCCCGACCATTCCCAGAGCGGCCAAACTTGCAGAGGAAAAAGGGATTTATTGAGGGAAAACACCCGGATTTGGGACAGGGGAACACCCGGATTTGGGACAGGAGAACACCTGGATTTGGGATAAGGGGAACACCCGGATTTGGGATCTCCAGGGCATTTGGGATTGACCCAGGAAAAGCAGGATGACGAGAGCAGGAGATCTCCAGGGGATTTGGGATTTTTGGGAAAAGCAGGATGCGTGCCTCAGTTTCCCCGTGGAATGGCTCCGGGGGGGATTTTTGGGATAAATCCGCTCGGTGCCAGCGCTGGGTGCTCCACACATGGCTCTGCTGCGGGAATCCCATGGGATCTGTGGGATTTGTGGGATTTGGGATCCAGGGAATGCCGTGGGCCGGGCTGGCGTTGTCCCCATGCCGCCGTTCCCGGTCCCACCTGCTCCAGGGAAAAGGGGGGACGGAGACAAGGACACAGCAGACACCCAGGGATGGATCCGGGACCCCAAACCCCAGATCCGAAACCCCGCAGCCCAAATCCCGCATCCCAAAATCCAAACCCCCGATCCCACGCCCCAAACCTGACCCCAAACCCTGCACCCAAAACTCCAAACCCAAAACCTGACCCCAAATCCCAAACCCCAAACCCAAAACCTGACCCCAAACCCCCAAGCCCAAACCATACACCCCAAATCCCAAACCCAAAACCTGACCCCAAACTCCCAACCCCAAACCCAAAACTTGAGCTGCGTCTCGGCCACTCCGCAATCCCAATTTGAAAACAATCCCAATTTTAAACCAGTTTAACCAATTTTAAATAAACTTTAACCAATTTTAAACCAATCCCCTCTCTGCTGAATCTCAGCATAAACCTCAAATTAATCCCGGGATTTTCCAGCATCCGAGGAGATGGAAAAAACCCCCAAATTTATCCCTAAAACCCAAATTTATCCCTAAAATCTGAATCCACCCCCAAAACCCCGCAGGCTGGGCCGTTCCGCGATCCCAACCCCGATTTTAAAACCAATTCCTTCTCTGCCGGATCTCGGGCTAAAGCTGGGCCTAAATCCCGGGATTTTCCGGCATCCGAGGGACGGAGCAAACCCCCAAACTCTCGCCAGCCCAGCTGTAATTTTCCCCCCGCGCGGCGCCGGAAGAATTAAAAGCGCATTAAAAACTCGCGGCAATCGCGCTCGCTCCTCGGCTCGCGCTGCCAAATTGCCCCGCGCCGCCTCGTGCAGATGTTCGTTAATTATGCTAATTTTTATTAAATCATTAACGCCGAGCCCTGGCACGGCGGAGCTGCCTGAACTCTGCTCCGCTCCTTCCCGGCCCGCTGGAATTCCTGGGTTTTGGGGAGCAGGAGGAGGAGGAGGAGGAGGAGGAGGAGGAGGAGGAGGAGGAGGAGGAGGAGGAGGAGGAGGAGGAGGAGGAGGAGGAGGAGGAGGAGGAGGAGGAGGAGGAGGAGGAGGAGGAGGAGGAGGAGGAGGAGGAGGAGGAGGAGGATGGGTTTTTGTTGGAATTTGGTTAATTAGGGCTTAATGAGGGCTCTGCTGCGCTGGGCAGGGAGGGAATTTCGGGGGATTTTGTGGGAATTTTGGGGGATTTTATGGGAAGGACTGGAAAGGAGCGGAAGGGATCCCGGGAGTGGTGTGGGGAGCGCTGGGAGCAGCTGGGAAGCGGAGCAGCGTCTTTCACATTCCCAGGAATCGGCAGGAATTGGGAAATTGGGAATCTGGCAGCCTTTCAAGGCTGGGAATGGATTTGGGGTCACCCCAGCTCTGTCCTCCCCATCCCAGGAATCCCCAAACTGGGAATCCCATCCCAGCTGGGTCTGTCTTATCCCACCAGGGTCTCCCATCCCACCAAGATCTGTCTGATCCCAACAGGATCCACGAGTGCCATCCCACCGGGATCCATCCCATCCCAACAGGATCCACGAGTGCCATCCCACCGGGATCCATCCCATCCCAACGGGGGTCTCCATGTCCCATCCCAACACGATCCACGTGTCCCATCCCACCGGGATCCATCCCATCCCAACGGGGGTCTCCATGTCCCATCCCAACACGATCCACGTGTCCCATCCCACCGGGATCCATCCCATCCCAACAGGATCCATCAGATCCCAACAGAGTTCAGGCGTCCCATCCCAGTGGGACCTGTCCCATCCCCTTGGGGTCTCTGCATCCAATCCCAACAGGATCCACGTTTCCCTTCCCACCAGGACGTGTCCCATCCCAACGGGATCTCCATGTCCCATCCCACCAGGATCCATCCCATCCCACCAGGACGTGTCCCATCCCATTGGGATCTCCATGTCCCATCCCACCAGGATCCATCCCATCCCACCAGGACCTGTCCCATCCCAACGGGGTCTCCATGTCCCATCCCACTGGGATCTCCATGTCCCATCCCAACCCATCGGAATCCGCACATCCCAAAGCTCCAAGATTTATCCAATTAACCATTCCCCACAAAAACCCCCAACCACAGCCCTGCCACCACCCCGCCCTGCCCGAGGGACCCGAGGGTGACACCGGGGTGACCCCGGGGTGACGCCAGCTCCCGAACTCCATCCCCGGATCCCCGGCCGCGGCCTCGGGAGCGCCGGGTTGATCTTTATTCCACGGCTGAGCGCGGCGCCGAGCCCGAGGCGGCGAGCGCGGCTGGGGGACGATGTGACGGAAATGTTTCATCTGCCGGGCCCATCTGTGCCGCGCGTTCCTGCCGCTCGCCCCGAGAGAGGCGCCGCCGCAGCTCCGCATCGCCTTTAATATTCTCCTAAATCACCTCCCCGGCGCGCTTCAAGGGCCATTGCCGCCGCCGCGCCGGTTCATCTGGAGTGCACGGCGGAACGGGGGGCACGGCGAGGGCAGGGGGAGGGCACGGGGTGGGGTTCGGCAGGAATTCCCAGGGATTTGGGGTCCTGAGTTCCTGGGATTGCGGGGTGGGGGGGAGAGAGGAGGCGCGGAAAAAAAAAAAAAATTGAAATAAAAAATCTGCAGGAAGTTGCTGGGAGGGTTTGGGGGTGCAGGAGATCCTGAAGGTCCAGGATTTGGAGGTTCAGGGCGGCAGGGATTGGGGGGTGCTCGGGATCCTGGAATTTTTAGGGTTGGGGAGGATTCGGGGGTGCAGGAATGTCGAATTTGGAGGTTCAGGGGTGCAGGGATTTGGGGGATGCTCAGAAGGTCCTGGAATTTTTAGGGTTCAGGAGGATCTGGGGGTGCAGGGAGGGTTTGGGTGTGCAGGGATGAGCAGGATTGGGGGGAATGCTCAGGATCCTGGAATTTTCGGGTTCCAGGAGGATCCGGGGGTGCAGCTGTGTTGGATTTGGAGGTTCAGGGGTACAGGGATTTGGGGGATGCCCAAGATCCAGGAATTTTTGGGGTCCAGGAGGATCCAGGGATGCGGGGAGGGCAGCAGGAGGGCATGGGGTGGGGTTTGGGAGGAATTCCCAGGGATTTGGGGTCCTGAGTTCCTGGGATTGGCGGGGGGCGGGGGGAGAAAGGAGGTGGGCAAAAATAAAATGAAAATAAAGAGGGAAGTTCCTGGGAGGGTTTGGGGGTGCAGGAATGGGGTTTGGAGTTTCAGGGGTGCAGGATTTGGGGGGAAATATTCCAGAATTGGGGGTTCACATCTCCAGGAGTGCCAGGGATGGACTGGGGGTTTTGGAGTTTCAGGGGTGCCAGAACTGGGGGGGAAATGTGCAGAAATTGGGGAGAAATATGCTGGAATTGGGGGTTTCAGATCTCCAGGACTACCCGAGGGGTGAACTCAGGGATTTGGAGTTTCGGGGATGCAGGAATTGGGGAGAAATATGCCAGAACTGGGGGGAATGTGCTAGAATCGGGGGAAAATATGCCAGAATTGGGGGGAAATGTGCCAGGATTGGGGTGAAACACTCCAGAATCGGGACTTTCACCTCTCCAGGAGCAGTGGCGATGAACTCGGGATTTGGAGTTTGAGGGATGCAGGAATTGGGGTGAAACATACCAGAATTGGGAGGAAATGTGCCGGAATCAGAGGGAAATATGCAGAAATAGGGGTGAAATGTGCCGGAATCGGGGTGAAACCCTCCGGAATCGGGGTAAAACCTTCCAGAATCGGGGTGGAACCTGCCGGAATCGGGGTAAAACCCTGCAGAATCGGGGTGAAACGCTCCAGAATCGGGGTGAAACATGACGGAATCGGGGTGAAACCCTTCAGAATTGGGGTGAAACACTCCGGAACTGGGGTGAAACCCTCCAGAATCGGGGTGAAACCCTCCAGAATCGGGGTGAAACCTGCCGGAATCGGGGTGAAACCTGCCAGAATCAGTGTGAAACACTCCGAAATTGGGGTGAAACCTGCCGGAATCTGGCTGAAACCCCCCGGAATCGGCGCCTTCCCCTCTCCGGGCGCGGCGGCGATGAACTCGGGGGTCTGCAGCGCGGCTCGGGGACCCCCGAGGAAGCGGCCGGGCTCTGCCGCATCCCCCGCGTTGCCGCGGCAACCGGAGCCGGGCTCGCCGCCGCATCCCCGGGGGCCGCTCGGGCGGCTCCACCTGCGCCCCGCGGCCCCCGGCGGGGTCAGCGCGGGGTCGGCAGAATTAATGAAGGCGGGCGCTAATGAGGTGTCGGCGGCTGTTGATGCTCTCCGTGTGTCGGGGGCACTCGCATTTCCAGAGCTCATTATGGGCTGCAATTAGGCTGCGGCACCGCCAGATATTTAGCTCCGTTTTTTTTTCTTTTTTTTTTTTTTTTTTTTTTTTTCCCCTCTTAAATTAGCATTTTAATAACGCCGCTGCCGAGCGGGGAGAACAACACCAAAATTGGCCGTTTTTCACGGGGAAAAACTTCCCGGCTCGAGTTAATGGCAGAGTTGTGAGGGAGAGAGGAAAAAAAATGAACCTTTCCCGCCTATCCCAGCGGGGGAAAAAAAGGGGGAAAAAACTGAAATGAAATGAAATAAAAAAGCGGGAGTGATTTTTATTTGGTTTATCGCACGCTCCTGTTCCGAAATTTGCTCTGAGGCCGATTATTTTCGGCTTGAAAGTCGCGCCTGGCGGCCGGAGGAGGTGGGAGCTGCGGGAGGGTTTGGGATCATTTTGGGATAATTCCATCCTTCCCGAATCCCGAATCCCAAATCCCCGGAGAAGGGAGCGGGGCGCGGATTGGGGAACAGCAAGTGCCGGCGCCGGGATGGATCCGAAATAAAACCGGATCAGAAATCCGATCAAAAATCGGATCCAAAATCCGATTTAAAAATCAGATATAAAATCCCATTTTAAAAGTCCCATCAAAAATCCCGCTAAAAATCCCATCCAAAATCACTTTCCAGACAAATCCCGGGGCTCGCTCCCCCCTCCAAAAGTCACCGTGATTATTCCCTAAAATTCCCTGGATTTGGGGCAGGGAAAGGGGATTTGGGGACAAGCCGGGGATGGGGATTGGGACACGGACACGTCACGACTTCATAGGGGACGGGCAGAGCCGTCCCTTCCTTCCCAGATTTCCAACCCAATCCCAATCCCAACCGCTTCCTTTCCAGCAGGATTCCTGATCCCGATTGTCTGGTGATCCCAGATCCCCTGGGATTGGGAATCTGGGACTTTTCCCTTGGGATTGGGAATTTGGGGCTTTTCCCTTGGGATTGGGAATCTGGGGATGTGGGAGAAGGGGGAGGGACCCCTGGGGGGGGAACCCATGGAGGTGGAGCTGGGAGAGGGGCCTGGACTGGGAGAACTGGGAGAACTGGGATGGGGGGAAATGGGAGAACTGGGATTGGGGAGAACTGGGAATGTGTTCCCCACTGGGCTCTGGAACTGGGGTTACTGGGAATGTGTTCCCCACTCTGATCCCAAACTGGGGTTACTGGGATTGTGTTCCCTGATCCAATCCCAAACTGGGGTTACTGGGAATGTGTTCCCAGCCCTGATCCCAAACTGGGGTTACTGGGATTGTGTTCCCTGATCCAATCCCAAACTGGGGTTACTGGGAATGGGTTCCCCGCTCCGTTTCCAAACTGGGGTTACTGGGAATGTGTTCCCTGCTCCAATCCCAAACTGGGGTTACTGGGATTGGGTTCCCCGCTCCGTTTCCAAACTGGGGTTACTGGGAATCTGTTCCCCACTCCAATCCCAAACTGGTTTTACTGGGATCGGGTTTTCCTCCCCGTCCCAAACTGGGGTGACTGGGGGGGTTCCCCCTTTTCCCTGGGATCACTGGGAAGGGCTTTTCCCTCATTCCTCCACAGGGAACCCCCAGGATCCCCTCCCCAGCCCCATCCAGAATCCCAAATCCATCGGGAAGCACTGTGGGAAAAGCAGGAAAAGGGCGGGATCCCATCCTTGCCCCGATCCAGGAACTCTCCTCATCCTCGGGACGAATTCCCGCGGGTTTCATTAAACCCCGCATTTATTTGGGGAAATTCCCGCCTTTTTTAGGGACCCGCAATTCCCTTTTCCCCTCCATAAAACCGGGATTTTCCTTCATGTACAGCTGGGAAAAGGGAACTTAAAAAACCCGGGAATAAAGGATGGAGGCAGCGGGGTTTGGAGCTGGAGAATTCCCATTTTCCCCAAATCCAGGCTCCCCCCATCCCGGATTTCCTGCCACTGTTTTGGGTTTGGTTTTTTTGTCCTTTTTTTTTTTTTTTTTGGGATCGTTTTAAAGTCGGGAATTCCGGGAGCGGGAATTCCGCGGATTGCGGAGGGAACGAGCCCGGGAATCTCCGGGATCCGCAGAATTCCCGCCGGGATTTGGGGTCAGCTCCGGGAGTTCCGCGATTTCGGGGATTTCTGGGATTGTTTTTTGTTTTTTTTTTTTCCCCTCAGTTTCTCTGTTTTTCCCGCGGTTTTCCATGGAAAAATTCCCGAATCTGCCGGCAGGGGTGGGTGCGGATGGATGGAATGGAGGTGGAATAGAAAACAGAAAATTGAAAGGGTAAAATGACAATATAATATATAAAAAATTAAAGAATATAAATATAAAGTATAAAACGTAAAATATTAAAAAATAAAATATAAAATGTAAAAAGAAGTGCAAAATATAACATATAAAACATAAGACATAAAGTATAAAATAGAAAAAAATTTAAAAATAAAGTATAAGCTATAAAACATGAAATATCAAAACTAAAATGTATTAAAATATATATATATAAAATATAAAAGTTCAAATGTAAAATGCAAAAAAGCAAAAAATAAAAACGTAAAAATTAAAATATGAAATGCCAAATATAAAAAAAAAAATTAAAAATTCAATTTCAATTTGAAAACAGAAACCAGGAATTATAAAGCACAAAACACGAAGTATTAAATATTAAATGATAAAATTCAAAGAGAAAAGCAAAGGAAAATCTCTGACATTCCATGGAAAGTCCAGGAGTGACGGGAGCTCCCAGGGTCAGGAAATCCGGGAATTTCCCGCCTGGGAAGAGCCCCCGGAGCCTCCCCGCCCCCAAACCCGAATTTCTCCTCAGCCCGGAAGAAATCCCAGAGAAAAATCCCAAATTTGATGTGGGGATCCATGGATTTGCTTTGTTCATTTATTAATGTCACCGTTTATGACACTAAATTATTATTTATCATCCTTTTAATCGTAATTTTATTGCTTTAAAATGTTATTTATTATTTATTTTTGATGCCCACGAATTTACCTGTTTGTTTATTCAGTTATAATGGATTTAAATATCTGTTTATTAATTAATTAACATTAATTTACCTGTTGGTTTACCTCTCAATTTGTTAATTTACAATCAATTTCTTTTGCTATTTTATTAATTAATTAACATTAGTTTACCTGATTATTTACTAATTGATTAACATTAATTTACCTGATTATTTACTAATTGATTAACATTAATTTACCTGATTATTTATTAATTTATCAGTAACTTATTTCCCTGATCTATTATTAATTTATCATTAATCCACCTCTTCATTTACTAATTAGGAATTCATTTAGAATTTATTCTTGTCCCCATTTATTAATGAATTCCTTTATTCCATTAATTAATTAATTAATTAATTTGTTACATTTATTAAATGAATTCATCAACCCACCCGAGGCTCATCCCAGGAAATTCCCGAGGCGCTGATCCCGGATCCCTCCTGGTTTTCCAGGATCTTTTGGAATTCCCAGTGATGAATTCCACAGGAAATGTGGGAATATCCCGGAATTCCGGGAATCCCAGCCCCAGGATTGCGGGATGAGGAAGGGGCCGAGTTTATCCCGGGATTTATCCCGAGTTTTTCCTGGGAGCGGGGACGGAATTCCGGCTTTTCCCGGGGCTTTATCCCGGGAATGGGTGGGTGAATCCCTGTGGGGGGAAATTTGGGATGGAGCACCAAAGTTTGGGATGGAGCATCTGGGATTTAGGATGGAGCACCGAAATGTGGGACGGAGCACCGAAATTTGGGATGGAGCACCAAAGTTTGGGATGGAGCATCTGGGATTTAGGATGGAGCACCAAAATGTGGGATGAAGCACTGAAATTTGGGATGGAACACCGAAATTTGGGATGGAGCACCAAAGTTTGGGATGGAGCACTAAAATTTGGGATGGAGCACCGGGAATGTGCAGATGAATCCCTGTGGGTGGGGAAAATTCGGGATTCAGGATCAGGAATGCGCAGGGTTCATTCCTGAGGATGAGGAAAATTTGGGATGCGGATTTGGGGACGCGCAGGTGAGGCCCTGAGGGTTGGGCACTGTTTGGGATCAGCCCCGTCCCTGTCCCTGTCCCTGTCCCTGTCCCTGTCCCTGTCCCCATCCCGGGGGTGACCAGGAGTGACCAGGGGTGACCAAGGTGACCGGAGGTGTCCGGAGGGTGATCGGGGGTGACCAGGAGTGACCGGGGGTGACTGGGGGATGGCCAAAGTGACCGGAGGTGACTGGGGGTGACTAGGGGTGACCAGGGATGACCAGGGGGTGACCAAGGGGTGACCATGGAGTGACCATGGAGTGACCATGGAATGACCAAGGGGTGACCAAGGGGTGACCGAGGGGTGACCGAGGGGTGACCATGGAGTGACCGAGGGGTGACCGGGGGGTGACCAAGGCGTGACCGAGGGGTGACCGAGGGGTGACCGAGGGGTGACCGGGGGGTGACCGCTGCCTTCCAGCTGCCGCCATCCCGGCGCTCCCGCCGTTCCCAGCGGGATCATTGCCGGGACCGAGCGCAGCTGAGCCCGGACCGAACTCATCCCGCGCCGCCTCCGGGAACGGAGCGGGGGGAGGTCAGGGCCGGCCCCCGTCCCCAAATCCATGGAAAATGCCACTAGATGTCACCCCGCGCCTTCGGCTGCCGTGCGGGATGCGGGAATTCTCTCCCGGAGCTTCCCTCTCCAGGTTTTAGGGGCAGGGATGGAGGGAATGAACAGATCCCGGTTTTAGGGACGGAGGGAATGAACGGATCCCGGTTTTAGGGATGGAGGGAATGATCGGATCCTGTTTTTAGGGATGGAGGGAATGAACGGATCCCGGTTTTAGGGATGGAGGGAATGATCGGATCCTGTTTTTAGGGATGGAGGGAATGAACGGATCCCGGTTTTAGGGATGGAGGGAATGAATGGATCCCGGTTTTAGGGATGGAGGGAATGAATGGATCCCGGTTTTAGGGATGGAGGGAATGAATGGATCCCGGTTTTAGGGATGGAGGGAATGAACGGATCCCGGTTTTATGGATGAAGGGAATGAACAGATCCCGGTTTTAGGGCGCCCGTCACTTCCAGCTAAAGCCACCGAGAGCGGGGAGCGGAGCCGCATTCCCACAATTATCCCAGAGGACGAATTGCTGGGACGGGAAAAACGGAGCAGGGCCAGGAATGGGGACATGGGAATGGGGATTTGTTGGGATTACGGAATTCCGGGATGGAGTGGGTGGGAAAGAGCTCAAATCCCATCCCATTCCCAGCCCAACCTTGGGCAGGGACCCCTCCCGCTACCCCAGTCCAGCCTGGCCTTGGACGCTTCCAGAGATGGGAATTGGGGATGGGAATTGGGGATGGGAATTGGGGATGGGAATTGGGGATGGGAATTAGGGACTGGAATGACTCTTCCCTCTTCCCAAGTGAATTCCCAGTGTTTTCTCCCAGCAGGAGTTTTGGGAATGAGCCGTTGGCACCTCTGGGGTTGTCACCCTGCACCTCCCAGATCCAGAGGGCCCAGGATCCCTTGGGATCAGCATTCCCGGGATTCCTGGGATCAAACAGGGCCTGATTTCCCTGGAAGTGCCCAAGGAACACCGGCACAGGGTTGGTTTCCATGTCAGGGATCACACCCAGATCCAGACAATTCCACAATTCCCTGACCCCATTCCGCTCCCGGTGCCCAGTTTTCCCGGGAATGTCAGGCCGGGAAGGCGCCAGATGGGATTTTATAGGAGCCGCTATTCCGTGGTCGGAGCCAGCGGGCGCCGCGAGATTAATTCCGCGAAATTAATTGGGACAAGATTGAAAAGGAAATTAAGGCGCAGCTGAGTGAACATTCCCAACCTTTTCCCTCCTCCTCCTCCTCCTCCTCCTCCTCCCAATGCTGCCTCTCCCTCCCTTCGCTTCCAGCATCCGGAATTTATGGGGAAAAGCCCCCAGGATCCGCCGGCTCTCAGCGAGGGATTGGCCGCTGGAGCCGCACCTGGAGCTGCCGGAATTCCCGCCGGGATGGCGGGACGTGGCCCCGAGCTGCTCCCGGTGTCACCCCCTGATGAACGCGGCCCGGGGGGATCCCAGCACAGGCAATTCCCCAAATTCCCAAATTGGGAATCCCCCAAAAATGGGGAGTTTGCACCTTTCCAGAGCGGGGTGCAGGATCAGGAGGGGGAGCTGCTCCTCCGACCCCAAAGCAAGGCCCAAATAGGCCCCAGTCCCAGTAAAAACCAGTAAAACCAAGTAAAAACCAGTAAAAAAGAGCAAAACTCAGTAAAAGCCAGTAAAAACCAATAAAGCCCCCCTCCTGACATCATTAATTTAATTTTAAATCTTGATTTTGAGTGATTTTAGCATCTTTTGGCCTCGAAAATGAGCCCAAATCCCAAAAAGTTCCTGCTCCTACCTCACCAAGGACAAGGATGAAGTTGTCCCTTTGGAAATGGGAAATAAAGTGGGGAACGAGCCAAATTCCCTAAAAATTCCCAAAACTTCTGGATTCTACCTTTCTGAGGATGTGGATGAGGTCACATGGGTGGGATTGGGAAACAAAATGGGGAGTGAGGCAAATTTCCTAAAAAATTTCCAAAAATCTCCCAAACATTTCCCAAAAAATTCCCAAAAATTTCCAGCTCCTACCTTGCTGAGGATGTGGATGAGGTCGCCCCGTTGGAAGGAGAGCTCGTCGGGATTGTCCCCGATGCAATCCCACAATCCCTGGTAATAATTGGAGTAATCCCAGTCGGAATTTTCTGGGAAAAAGGGGAAAAAAAAGGTCAGGTTGGTGAGGGATTTATAGGTACAGGATCATGGAGGAGATTCCAGAGCCCAAAGTTCTCCTGGAGCTCCTCCAGGAGGGGAAAGGCTCCAAATCCACTGGAATGTTGAATGTTGAGGTTGGGAAATGCCGGGAATTCCATGGAATTCCGTCACGGACTCGCTGGCTGAGGGATCGGTGCTCCCCAAAGAGTTTGGTCCCAGTTTTCCAGGAATTCCTTTCCCAGGAATTCTCATCCCAGCTCCTGTCCTGCTTCCCAGAGGGACAGGGGGGCATTGGAGGCATCCTGGGAATAGCTGGTCGGATCCTGGGGGGTTGGATCCCAAAATTCCTGTGGGATCCCTCTCTGGCTTTTTAGGGATAAAAATCCAACTTTGAAAATCCCAAACACCTCCTTTAATCCAGGAATTTTGGGAGATGTGTCACTTTGGGAAAAGTCTTCCCAAGTGGAATTCCACCACTGGGAAGAGTCAATTTCCAGGAATTCTCCCGTTCTCCACATTTTCGAGTTTTCCAAGTGGAATTCCACCATTGGGAAGAGTCAATTTCCAGGAATTCTCCCGTTCTCCACATTTTCCACAGCCCAGGATGCTCCAAAGTGGCCAAAATCCCAAAATATTCCCTCCATCCATATCCTGGGAACCCTTTGGATTGGGATCTCACCCTCCTCGCTCCCGAAATCCTCCTCATTCTCCGGGAATGGCGGCTCCAGCTCCTCATCTGGGGAGGGAAAAAACAGTGGGAAAATCCGGGGAAAACAGTGGGGAAATCAGGGAAAATCCGGGAATGTTGCAACTCCAGCAGGCCCAGGGCTCTGAGAGAATCCCGGGAATAAAAAATTCCCAGATTGATGGTGGGGAGAGGAAGTATCGGAGAAGATTTTCATGGAAAACCGGAATTGTTGTGGGCGCTGGGAAAAACAAATCCCTGAATTCCGGATTTGGGAATTTCCATGGGAAGGGAGGAAAAGGAGATTCCAGAGGGGAAATTCCAGGCTGGGAATGCGAGGAAGGAAGGAGGAATTAGGGAGGAAGAGGAGGAGGAAGGGATGGAAGGAATGATCCCAGGGAAAAGGTGGATTCCAGAGGGGATGGGAAAGCTTGGAAAAATGGGAAGGGAACGGAGCTGCGTGGAGCATCCCGAATATTCAGCCTCATCCATGGAAAAGCCATTTCCCATCCATGGAAAAACCATTTCCCATCCCACAGACATCCCTGCCTGCTCCTTGTCCCCTTCCCAGGCACGTTCCAGGAGGATTTGGAGCTGGGAAATCCAGGAATGGGATCCATGGGGCCAGGAGCAGCCCCTCCCCACCATCCAGGGGTTTTCCTGGAATCAAATCCGACAGATCCAAGGGTTTTCCTGGAATCAAATCCGACGGATCCAAGGGTTTTCCGGGAATCAGGCCTGGAAGTGAAGCTCTGCCTTCCCAATCCCACCCAACACTTGGATCCTCCAGGACTGAATCAAAGGGAAAAGCTGGAAAACTTTGGAAAATTCCACTTCTCCCTCCCACCCCACTTTTGGGATCCTCATCCCGGGGGTCCGGAGCCGCCGGCGCATCCCGGGAAGCTTCGGAATCTCTGCGGAGCCGAGTTTTTAATGGAGCAATTTGATTCAATTTTCCAGTCGATAAAATTCCCCGGCAGCGCTCGGCGCTTCCGAACGGACACCTTCACTCCTGATTTAACATTCCCATCGAATCCTTCCCGGGAAATTGGAAAAATTTATCACCTGTGAAATTTTATTTGGCCTCGGCCGCGTCTGTTTTTGTAAAACTTCATTAACGCCGAGGAAATTATCTCTCCGTGGCTTTTCCCGTTTTTTTTATTCCCGTCTCCCGGGTTTTTTTGCCGTGGTTTTTGGTCAGGAGGTAAAGGAGGGAGAAGGGGGCGGAGGGAGGATGGGATTGGGGCTTTTCCTGCGGATTTTGGGGGTTTGGGATGGAGGAAGATCCGTGAGTTGGGTTATCCCAGGAGAGCTGGGAAGTCTAATCCATGGAAACCCATGGAAATGCATGGAAGTCCATGGAAATCCATGGAAACCCATGGAAATGCATGGAAGTCCATGGAGATCCATGGAAACCCATGAGAATCCATGGAAACTTGTGGAAAACACATGGAAATCTGTGAAATCCTACAGAAATCCATGGAAACCCATGGAAAACTATGAAAACCTATGAAACCCCGTGAAAATCCATGAAAATCCACAAAAACTCTGAGGGCTGCTCCAGCAGAATCTCCTGATCCGAAATTCCCAGAAAAACAAGGTTTGGATTTGGGAGATCCATCCAAAGCTCGGAATAAAGAAATGGGATAAAACCTTGGAATTTTGGGTGGGTTAAAAACAGAGATGTGGGAATGGCACTGGTGTGGGAACAGCCAAGGTTTCTTCACGTTTTTCCAAGGAAAAGTTGGGAATTTGGGAGCTCACCTGGCAGCACCTCGTAGATGTCGTCACCTTCCAGCTCCGGCTCCTCTGGATTCAGGGTGGAATTTTGGGAATTGTTCATGGAATCGGAGCTGTCCCGGTCCTTGGAGAGCTCTTCCTCTTCCTCATCCTCCTTCTCATCCTCCTCCTCCTCCTCATCCTCATCGCAGGGAATGGTCAGGGAGCTGAGGTCTGCCAGGAAACAGGGAAAAAAGGGATGGAAAAGTGGGAATTCTCCCGATTCCAGAGGGGTGGGATGGAGATCCAAATCCTGCACCCAAGAACAGGAAAAAACCAAGGAAAAACTCAAGAAAAGATGGGAAAACTCAAGGAAAGATGGAAAATCCCAAGAAACAACCCCAAATTCAGGGATGAATCCTGAAGGGGCACAGGAGGAGGGGAGGGGAGCTGGGGAATTCCAGAGGTTCTGGAAAGTTCCAAAGGTTTCCAGAGAATTTCTGGAATTTTCTCTGTGTCCAGCTGGAGCAACTCCGTACAAATCTGGGTGGGGGTGGATGGAAAGCCCCGATCCAGGTGGGAAAACGCTTCCCAAAGATCCCAAAAACCGGGAGCCGCTCCAGACTCACCCCTCAGGAGGAACTGGATCTGCTCCACCCAATCCTGGGCCTCGGCCGGGCTCGGAGCTGTGAACTGCCGGGAGAATCCGTTATCCCGGGATTTGGGATTTGGGATTTGGGATGAGGGGACAGGGATCCACCATTCCCAACCCCGGGGCACTGGGAAAAGCCATTCCCGAGGTTTATCTCCCAGCTCCAAGTGGGAGCGGAGCACAGCCGGAATATCTCAGGAAAGCTGGCAGGCCTAATCCATGGAAATCCATGAAATTCCATGAAATTCCATGGAAACCCATGGAAACCCATGGAAATATCCCTAAATCCTAGCCAGGCTATCCCAGGAAATCTGTCAGGTCTAATCCATGGAAATCCATGGAATTCCATTCCCATTTCTCCCCCGATATTCCTGTTTCACCCCCCAAATTCCCATTTCCCCCCCCAATCCCTTTTGTTTTCCCCTAAAATTTCCCATTTCCCCCCCAAAATTCCCACTTCCCTGCCGTTTCCCACCTCGTAGGAGCGTTTTCCGGGACAGAGCAGCTGGAAGCAGCATTTTTTCCGGGAATCTTTCCGGAGCTGGGAGTCCAGGTGGGCCTGGTAGCGCTCGATGGGAAAGGAGCCTTTGGGCTGCTTGCCTGGGAAAAGGGAATTGGGCAAAATTTGGGATTTTCCGGCTTTTTTCCATCCCTGGATGCGGCTCAGGGGGGTTTATCCATGGAGGGAAACTGAGGCACGCGGCTGGAAAATTCCAGGAAAGGGGAAAGTCCAGAAAATTCTGGAAAAAGAAACGGATGGAAAATCTGGGAAAGGAAAAATGGCCACAAAATTCAGGGAAAGGGAAATGGCCAGAAACTTCCCTTTGCTCCAATGGAAAAACCCCAAATCCAGCTGGGATTTCCCTTTCCAGAAGCTGGGAATTGCAGTTTTCCATGGTCAGATCTCGCTTTTCCACCCAAAAGTTGGGAATTCTTTTCCCACTCACTTTTCTCGTTGGCGTAATAGAGGAAATTCCGTTGGGTGAGGACGCACCAGCGCTTGTGCCACTCGGAGCCGAAAAAGCTGGGCTCTGGAAAACAAGGAAAAATAGAAAAAATTGGGGGAAAAATGGGAAAAATCAGGAAAAGCAGGAATAAGACTCAATTTTATTCCTTTGGGACGTGTTTCTCATGGATTCAATGCGGCCAGGGAACATGTTTAGGGTTAAATCTCAGGGAAATGTTGTTGAACCAGAGATTAGCGGGAGTTAAGCCAGGCCTAACTCTGAGCTGAGCTCAGGGAAAAGCCAGGAGCTGTTTCTGCCTCTTCCCATCAATAATTCCCGAGAAAATCCCATTAGGGAAGGGAATAATTTGTGGCTTTCACGGGAAAAGAGAGATAAGGCCGGGGCTGATTCCGAGCCCGGCTCTTATCTCCGCATTAAATGTGGGATGATCCCGAATCCCTGGAGCTTTTCCCGGCTTTTTCTCCTCATTAGTTTTGCCCTCCAGGCCTGGGCCGGGCTTAATTTAATTCCAGGATTTAATTTGGATGCTCTGGAAGAGGGAATGAGCCGGGCAAGGCATTGGAAAAACCTGGAAGCTCCTGCCGGTGGAAATCCATGGATTTCCTGCGTTTTCCTGGTTTTTTTAGGCTGGAAATTTGGGATTTTGCCACATTTTCAGGTGGCAAGCCCTGGATCTTCTCCTGGAATTCCAGGTTTTACCTCGGGATCTTTTCTCCAGGTATCCTTGCTTCAAAATATTCCCGGAATCCTGGATGGGCCGTGGGATCTCCTCCAGGCCTGCAGGGAGCAAAGCAAAGGAAAACCTTGGAATTTGCCATTCCCATTCCCACATTCCAAGGTTTCCAGTCCCTTCCTTTGGGGAAGAAGCGTTGGGGGTGGAAATCCCAGTTTATCCCGATCCCTCTGATATTCCCACGATTGGGAATAGGGAACAGGGTCTTGGAATTCTGGGATTCAGCGGGGTGAGGCTGGAGCTGCCCTTTTTCCCTGGAATCTGGTTGGGTTATGGAAACGGAAATCCCAATTTCCACGGGAAATCCAATTCCCATGGAGAATCTGCCTATGGAATCTCATCCCGGAGCCTGGAAGGGGTCTGCCATTCCCAGCTCATCCCAAAAACCTAGGAATCCTGGGACAGTGGGAAGTGATCCTGGATGAGCTTTAGGATCCCTTCCATCCCAAATTATCACCTAAAAAATTCACATAAAAATGAAAAACATGGAAATAAAAATATAAAAATATGGATCCATAACTTGAAAATCCCTGGAATTCTTTCCCTGTTCCCCAATTCTTCCCTAATCCCAACATTCCGACCCCGGCCCTGCCCGGCCGAGCCCTCCCTGATCCACAATGAGCCGGAAAGTCCTAAATCATTCCCTAATGGAGCGTCCACCCCATCCATCAGCGGGCGGGAATTCATCCCCATTAATTCCCTAATCCATGATAAACTTCCCGTCCTTTCCTGTCCGCGCGGGGACTCCGTAAATCCCGACTTTTGCTCCGGCTCCACCGGAGCGTTCAGGTGTGCTCCGACCATTCCTCGTTAGCCCGATGGCCTCATTTTCCCGGGAATGGCCTTGGAGGCCTCGTTTTCCCGGGAATGGCCTTGGAGGGCTCGTTTTCTGGGAATGGTGAGGCCTTGGAAGTCCCATTTTCCGGGGAATGGCCTCGGAAGCCTTGTTTTCCCGGGAATGGCCTTGGAGGCCTCATTCCATACGCAGCAAACTTGGGAATTCTGCGGGCGGCAAACTTGGGAAAAAGTTTTGAATTCTGGGAAAACTTGGGAATTCTGGAGGCAACAAATTTGGGAATTTTAGATACGGCAAACTCAGGAATTCCGGAGGCAACAAACTCAGGAATTGCGGAGGCAAGAAACTTGGGATAACTCCCCGCAGCGGGGCAAAACCAGGGGGGACCCCGCATTTTTTGGGATTCTGTCCAAGATGACGTTTAGCAGGGCTGGGGATCTGCTTCCATAAATCCCGGCTCATCCCGGGAATCCGCGGAACGCCGGGATCGGCCCTCTGCCCCCGCATCCGGCCGGGAAGCGCGGCCGGAGCTCGACCGCGGCTTTTCCGTGTTCCCGATAAGGAACTCATCCATCAGGGCCGGGGGAAGGCAGAAGGGCGGGGACGGGGTTGGATTTATCGGGAATGTGTCATTCCCTCCACACGCCCCGCGGGATAAATGGATCCTCCATCATTCCCGGCCGCTCCGCACCTGCGGCCGCGCGCGCTCCGGGATGACCGGAGCCAAGGATTTGATGGATTTTCCCGACTTTAATGAACGTAAACAAACAAAGGAGAGAGGGAAACATCAAATAATTCCCGTGACAGCTCCCAAAAGGAGCCGGGAGAGCGGGAAGCGCTTCCCAAAGGGAGCCGCGTTTGATGTGGGATCGGGATTTGTAAACAGCGGCAGCTCCGGATCGCGCCTTATCCAAATATTTCCCTTTCCCAGCGCCGGCTGAAAGTCGGGATTGACGGCTTTGGACTCTTCAACTTTCAGCTTTCACCCCGCGGCTCCGGAGGGAGGGAGGCAGGCCCCACCCCCCATTCCCGCTGGAATTTGTTCCCTAATTTCCCCTTGGAAAAGCTGATATGGGGCAGCTGGAGATCAAACTCCCGGTGCTGCTTTCCCCCGGCATTCCCGGTTTTCCAGAGGGTCCCAAACCCCTCCAAGGACCTCTCAGCCCCAAAGGAGGAGGGAGGGGGGAGTGACCTCAATTCCTGCCGGGATTTGCTCCCTAATTCCCCCTTGGAAAAGCTGATACGGGACACCTGGAGATCAAACTTGTCCCGCTCTTCCCGCTCATTCCCGGTTTTCCAGAGGGTCCTGAGCCCCTCCAAGAACCCCGCGGCCCCAGAAGGAGCCAGTGGAGGAGGCAGAGAGGGAATGGGAGGGATGAGCCCCATTCCTGCAGGGATTTATTCCCAATCTCCCCATGGAAAAGCTGATCTGGGAACCTGGAGATCAAACTGGAGCCACTCATTCCCGCTTTTCCAGCCCTCATCCACCCCATCCCTTTTTTCCATCTGGGTCAGGAGCCACCCATGGATCAATCCCAGAGGGATGAAGCTCCCCTGGCCATGGATAAACAGGATTTGGGATGCTGAGCCTTGGGAGCAAATCCCAAATCCCAGTGGGATCCTCTCGCCCAGCCACCCCCTTTTCCTAATTCCCAACATGGGCAGCAATCCCAGGGAAAATCCCAAATTTTTGAGAGCTGAGGGTGTCACAGAGGGGGAATTCCAGGTTTAATCCCGAGCTGAAATTTGGGAATAAAAGGAAGGGAATGAAAGGACCTTCCTGCCATAAATTCCCACCGAGAATTCCCACCGGGACTCCGGGGTTACATCCTGGCTCTTTAAAAACGTATCCCAAGAAAATCAAGCACCTCCATCACCTTCCCGGGAATATTTACGGCCTCTGGGAAGGGCTCGCCAGCAGAATTCCCACTTGGAATTCTCCAGGAGCTGGCAAAGGTCAGCGCAGGGATGGACGCGGCTGAAGGATTTCCCTCCCGAGATTCCAAGGCCGGGAGATCCCAACCCTGGAGCTGCTCCCAAGGGATTCTGCCGGGCTTTGGGGTCGCGTCCCGGGGCAGGAATTCAGGGAAAAGCTGTGTCATTCCAAGATTTTGCCACAAGGAAGCAGCAGAAGCTCAGGATTGGAGCCGGCAGAGGGAGCGGCCCCGCCGGGAGCAGCAGCGGGGGGCTGGGATCCCAAATCCCAAATTTCCCACCCCAAAATGGGGCTGTGAACCCCTGCTGGGGATCCCAATTCCCAGATTTCCTATCCCAAAAAGGGGGCTGGAAATGCCGGCTGGGATCCCAATTCCCAAATTTCTCATCCCAAAAAGGGGCTGTGATGATCCCTAAAATCCCCTGTCCCTGTCCCAGGGGGCTCCAGACCCCCCCTTTCCCCCAGTTTTAGGGTGGCAGCTCCGACTCCAATTCCGACTGGGAATTCCAAGGGAAGCAGATGGGGGTTGGCAGGTCCCTGTCCCCATTCCTGTCCCTTTTCCCATCTCTATCCCTATCCCCATCCCTGTCCCCATCCCTGTCCCTTTTCCCATCTCTATCCCTGTCCCCATCCCAATCCCTCCAAACCCCTTTTCCCTGATTTTAGGGTGGCAGCTCCATGCCCCCATTCCAGTTAGGAATTCCAAGGGAAGCAGGTGGGGGTTGGGAGGTCCCTGTCCCCATCCCTGTCCCCTTTCCCATCCCATCCCTTCCCATCCCATCCCATCCCATCCCAGTCCCCCCAAACCCCTTTTCCCATTTTTGGGGTGACCGCTCCATGCCCCATTCCCGCTGGGAATTCCGCAGGAAGCTCCAGCCCCGCTCCCTCCCTTTCCCTCTCCTGACCTCATCACTTTTCCCCCCACTCTCCAAAAGTGCTGAGCGCGGCTTTCCCGGGAATTATTTATCCGCGGGAGAAATGATTAAAAAAATTATTGGGAAAAAAAGGGAGATAAAACAAAACATCGATCGCTCCGGCCGCATCCGCCTCTGGGAGCGCTGGGAAGTGACAGCGGATAAAGGATGGCGGGGCCGGAAAAACAGGGAACTGCTTTTTATGGCAGCTCGGATTCCCACAAAGCCATAAATCCGGGATGTGATGGATCAGGAGAAAAGCTCCACACGGGGTGGGTTTGGGGAACTTTGGGTAGGAATCCTGGTGGGGTCAGAGCTCCGGGACCCCAAAATCCAGGTGGGATCAGAACTCCAGACCCCAAATTCCAGGTGCGATCAGAACTCCAGACCCCAAAAACCAGGTGCGATCAGAACTCCAGACCCCAAATTCCAGGTGGGATCAGGGCTCCAGGAGCCCCAAAATCAAAGCTGGATCAGGATTTTGGGATCCAGGAGGAACATTCAGCCCCCATCCCAAATTCCTGGTTGGATCAGACTCCAGAACCCCAAAATCCAGGTGGGATCAGAGCTCCGGACCCCAAAATCCCAGTTGGATCAGGGCTTGGGATCCAGGGGGGACATTCAGTCCCTATCCCAAAATTCCGGTTGGATCAGGGCTCAGGACCCAAATTCTAGGTGGGATCAGAGCTCAGGGCCCAAATTCCAGGTGGGATCAGGGCTCCAGGATCCAGGGCGGACATTGGACCCTTACCCTAAATTCCAGTGATTTGGGATTGAACAGAACCCCAGGAACGGGATCCCATGGGAATGCAGCCCCTTCCCAGCCCGGATCTGATCCCAAACGTTCCCCCTGGGGCCGTTCCCTCATTTCCCCATTCCCTGGGAAGGGAGGGACGGGAACACGGCCGGGAATTTGTAACGCCGCGTGCGGAGCTGACATTTATGGGAAATTGGGAAAGTGAGGATTTTATTGCTCTCTCCGTCAAAACCCGCCGCTCCATCCGAGGCCTGGGAAATGTGGGATCGATATCCCAGCCTCTAATATCATCCCAGAAAACCAAAAAAAATCATTATCCTGTTATTTTTATTATGGAGTTACAGCTGAAAAATGGGAGCTGGGGTGGTTTCCATTTCCTCAGCGGTTTTTTCCAGGTTTTTTTTCTGGGGTTTTTCCCTCCCCTGCTGCCTCTGGATCAAATCCTGCCAGGATGGGAAATGGGATTTGGGTGGGGATGGGAAGGACCTGACTCTGCTCTGGGATGGGATTTGGGAGCCCCAAATCTCCAGGATGGGATTTTGGGAGCCCCAGAGTTCCAGGATGGGATTTGGGAGCCATATATTTCTGGTATGGGATTTTGGGAATGCCAAAGATCCCCACGGCTCTGATATGGGGATTTT